ATCCCAAAGGTAATCGGCTCCGACAACGGCCCTGCTTTTGTTGCCCAGGTAAGTCAGGGATTGGCCAAGATCCTGGGGACGGACTGGAAATTGCATTGTGCATACAGGCCCCAGAGCTCAGGACAGGTAGAAAGGATGAACAGAACTCTAAAAAAGACCTTGACTAAATTGTCCATAGAGACTGGCTTATGTGATTAGTTAGTCCTCCTTCCCTTCGCCCTGTTTAGAGTCAGGAACACTCCCGGCCGCTTTGGACTAACGCCTTTTGAAATAATGTTTGGAGCCCCAGCTCCGCTTCAGTCAGTACATCTTCATATATTCCCTGAGTGTGCAACTAATAAGTTTTTGCTTGAAAGGTTACGAGCTTTGGAGGCTGTGCAGAAAGAGGTGTGGGCCTCCATCAAAGAAGCCTATCGGCCAGAGGACCTCTCAGTGCCTCACCAGTTCCAGGTGAGAGACCATGTCTACGTGAGAAGGCACCGGACAGGAAACCTCGAGCCACGGTAGAAGGGGCCTTTCGTCGTCCTCCTGACTACTCCCACAGCTGTAAAAGTGGACGGCGTCTCTTCCTGGATACACGCTTCACATCTAAAGAAGGCACCCCCGGACCCGGACTGGCGAGTAACTCGGACTGATAACCCCCTTAAGCTTCGCTTGTGTAAAAAGAATTATGCTGTTAGTAATTCTGATGTTTCTGCTACCTCCAACCCACCAGAACCTTAACCCTCATGAGCCCAGGTTACTGACATGGCAAATCATTACCCCAGCTTCCCGCCAAATAGTAGTCCAGATAGCAGGACAACACCCTAAGGGAACCTGGTGGCCTACCTTCACTGTAGATGTATGCACTCTTTACAAGCAAGACCCTAGGTACGAAGACACAGTTGGAGTACCCGGATGTAGCACTCGGGATTATACGGTGCACTGGGACTCTGGGACTATGAAAGAGATTCAAAGTGCCTGCTTTTATGTATGCCCGGCCCCCTCAACTGATGCCGAGGTCTCACAATGTGGTGGGCAGACAGATTTTTTCTGTAAAAATTGGGGTTGTGAACAGACAGGGACATGCCATTGGCTGACAGGAAGTGCAGGGAGACCCCCTCCAGGCCTCATAAAGATCCAACGAGGTGCCACTCACGCCCAGTGCAAGACTCATCCCACCTGCAATCTTATTGATATCTCCTTCACAGATGCAGGAAAAAGGGCAGCAAACTGGGAAAAGGGGCTTACTTGGGGACTAAGACTGTACCAGAGTAGGTATGACAATGGAGTCTTATTTATGCTCAGGCTGAAAGTAGAGACTCTCCCGGCTATCCCAGTGGAACCCAACACTGTCCTGCGGGACCGGCCGCGTCTCCCAGCCCCGGCCCCCAAGCAGACCCTAGCCCCTCCTGTAGACTCTACCGCCACTCCCTCTGTTTCCACTCCTGGTCAAGTTGCCCCTTTCCCTAGCACAGGACGATGCCTCCTTAACCTCCTTGAAGGAGCTTTTCAGGCCTTAAACACCACCAATCCTAAAACTACTGAATCCTGTTGGTTGTGTTTCTCTTCTGGGCCGCCTTATTATGAAGGATTAGGATTGTTAGGCAATTTTAGTAAGACAACCCGTCACGAGATCTGTAGCTGGGGAAGCCACCGGAAACTAACTCTAACTGAAGTAACTGGAAAAGGAAAATGTTTAGGTACAGTCCCCCCCACCCATAAAGCCTTGTGTAATGAAACCGTAGCTATAACCCCCTCAGGTAAAAATGAGTATCTAGTCCCTCCCCCCGAGGGATGGTGGGCTTGTAATACTGGAGTGACCCCATGTGTCTCTACTTCTGCCTTCAACTCCTCTCGCGATTTCTGTATTATGGTTCAGCTAGTACCCAGGTTAATGTATCATGATGATCTCTCATTCGTAACTGAATTTGAACCTAGGCATAGATATAAAAGAGAGCCGGTCTCGCTGACCTTAGCCGTGTTGTTAGGGATAGGAGTTGCAGCCGGAGTGGGAACGGGGGCAGCCGCTATTGTTCAAGGGAACCAGCATTATGAAGGACTAAGGACTGCTATTGATGAAGACCTAAAAACAATAGAGCAATCCATTACAAAACTTGAAGAATCTCTAACTTCCCTCTCTGAGGTAGTCTTACAGAATAGACGAGGGCTGGATCTACTGTTCCTAAAAGAAGGAGGACTGTGTGCAGCTTTAAGAGAAGAATGCTGCTTTTATGCAGATCATTCTGGGATAGTAAGAGATTCAATGTCAAAACTTAGAGAGAGGCTAGATCAGAGGAAGAGAGAGCGAGAAGCAGGCCAAGGACTGTTTGAATCTTGGTTCACCAGGTCCCCGTGGTTTACAACCCTGATATCCACTCTGGCTGGGCCCCTACTCATCCTTGTGTTGCTTCTAACTTTAGGACCCTGCATGTTAAACCGGTTAATAACTTTTGTTAGAGAAAGAGTGAGTGCCGTTCATGTACTAATGTTGAAGCAACAATACCACTCACTCAACTCACAAGAAGATACAAACATTCCATGATTGGAATGCCCCAAAAAGAGAAGTGGGGAAATGTAGGATCTGAAGAATCAAAAGTTAGCATAAGTACAGCCATCTTAAGGCCTAAATACCACCCCCTAACCCAGAAGAAGGAAAATCATTAGAATCTTGAAAAACAAGTTAGTCAGCCTGTGTCAATTGTAGTGACCTTTAGTTAGCCAACCGTAAATCAGTTAATCATACACACCTAGCTTATCTTGCTAGAACCACCCTAGACATTCCGAAGGTGATCTCATCTAATCAGACCCCAGGATGTGGCGCCAGCAAAAGATTTATGAGCCTATAGAAAAAAACCCTGTATTGTGATTATGGAAAATTTTACCCCTTTTGAAAATGCTATAAAACCTTCTGGCTTTGTGTGCTCGGGGTCCTCGTTGAGACCCGCTGCGACGGGCTGACTTGGACCCCAACTAGTTAGCTTCCGAATAAATTCCTCTTGCTTGTTGCATCAAGAAATGTCTTTGGTGAGTGATTTGGGGCGGCGCCTTCCTCAGGGGAATCCAACATACCCATGAGAGCACATGAATAGAGCTCAGAATCTAGGACAGAAGGATAAGGCATGAATAGTTTTTTTTTCTTCTGTTAATCTGTCTCATGTCAGTTTGGTTCTTTCCTGTCTCCACATGCTCCCCTTTCATTTCCCATCTCTCTCCTATATACAACACATATCACATGTACACATTATAAATGCACATCAATAACATTAAAAAAAAATTCAAGTCCCAGGATAGTATGTTATCTGATCTCAGTGATGTGCTGGTAAATGTTTAACTGCCAACTTGGTAGTGGGGAGGTGTATCTGTATGTGGAATTGTCACATTTGCCAATTTCCATGGTGTAAATATTCCTACCAAGGACTATTTCTATCAACAATTTAGCAGCCAGCTAGTAATATTACTGCAAACTTAATAGCCAGTAGGAATCTGTTCCAGTTTAGCTCTATCTTACCCTATTACAGCAAATAACAGTTAACATTTATTGAACACTTACTATGTAAGAAGCCCAGTGTTAAGAGTTTTATATATGGCCTTTAGCAAAATTTAAATGAGACTCTATTCATTTGTTCAACAAGTTACTAAATTCCTTTCATGCTAGGTGCCAGAGAAATAAAGATGAATGAGAACCATACCTACCCTCAAGCAATTAATGGAGTATAGTGGAGGAGGTAGATACAGAAATAAATTACAGTATAACATAATAAATAATAGAAAAGATAGTGGTGATAACTGATTTAGTACCTATTCCAGGTCCTTCTGGGGTAAGGGAACCTGAAGGGAACCCTTTCCTTTATCTCTTTGCAAAAGTCCATGCTGACCATGTCAAAACATCTTCTGTGGATAAAGTTTATGTAGATACCTTTGAAGTTTAATGGAACTGAAGAGCACATCAGTTCCTTTAAAAATAAAATCTTTGATATGCATGTTCCATCTTATAGTTAGAATTGGGTCTAAATTATCTGTCACATAGGCTTTAGAAAGAGAATATGGAATATAAAGAAGGAACCTTTTGAGAACTGACAATTTACAGACCTCAGGAGTGCTATCCTTATTCAAATTCAATTTCATTTTAGAAAGCTTGAAGGCATCAGACTGTTACAGAGATAAAAGAGTCAAGTATTAATCTTTTGAGTTAGTATCTTATTCAAGCTGTTGAACTTATGAAGGTTTGTAGTACTCTTAATTTATTTTACAACTAAAGATCAAGCAAAAGAAGTTAAAAAAAAGGCAACATACTGGCTACTCCTCATTTGATTAGTGCTAACAATGACTGTAATTCATTACAAAAACTACTTATTTCTTTTATTGCCTCAAGTCCTTTATGGAAGTAGGATGAGTAGAAATAATAAAATACAATTTTATTTTTCTTCCGATCTTCTTTGCTCAGTAACTCAATTTTTCCGTCACTTTTATATTGGCTTACACAGGCCAGAATTATATTTTAGCATTATGGTCAGAGTGTGAAAACAGGGTTTGGGGTGTATCAAAAACCAATCTTGATGTGACAGAACAGTGTGCCACAAAACAAAGTTGTTATGCTTCTTTCTCTCCTATCTGCCCCATGTGGACCTAGCATGAGTGAGGTGATGATTTAGTGCAGAATTCCTGATATTTCACAAGGAACCCTATGGAGCAAGCTTGCTTTGGCTCCTCACAGGATTATAGCAGACAGAATGAAGGATGACTCTTGAAAGGAGAACAGTCAGGTACCTAGCAACCAGTCACAACCTCCTAATTCCCTTCAAAGCCTTGGGGTACTCTGTTGAAATGTTTAAGTACCAAGGGATAGTAAGGCTTTAACTTTTACGCAAAATTTAGTACAAAGGGAGGAAAAGTAAATGTGAAGACCTCTATTTGAGGATCAAGTCCATTAATTTGGTACATTTATATGTTATTAAATGATTACTTTTATGTTCATTTTATATAGCTTTCCATTTGTTTTTAAGTTTGTAGGTGGACAAATCCCTCTTGGTTTATATTCAGAAGATGAATTTATTGACATTTTTACGTTCACTTTTTCTTTTTGCCTGAAAAATAGTTAAATGCGGAAGCTATTACAGGTTAGAGTGACGGTAAATTTACTATGCAAACCAGGGCACATTTGAGAATGAAAGGAAGCATGATTATTGATATACTATAATTCTGGGAGATCAGGAATACACAGGGACTATCTCTTAGCAAATGGAATATATGGTCATCCTGACTTATAGGTTATTGAATCACTGTTATTTATTTGCCATCTGGATTTCATAGAAACATCTGAAAAACGTGAGTCTCTGTTATTTAAAAATTGGGATTCATGTGTGTGTTCATAACATGGGAATTAGAATAGGATCAAGTAGTACTGATTTTGTCCCTTATGGCTGAAACAAGATGGTAAGAAGAAGGTACCCTGAAGCCCTTCAAAGTTAAAAGATCCTTATCTGAGTTCATTACTTCTCTTCCAGCTCTTTTGGGCTTATGTACCCACACTCCATAGATCTCAGAAACATTCCCCTACTTTATATTCCTATTACAACTGCCTAACCTCAGGATTTTTGCATCTTTCACTAGGAAGATAGCAAACACTGATCTCTCTGCTTTCAGTCTTTCTATGTGTGAAATCCTTTCCCTATATCAGAGCCAGACTAATTTATCTAAAATGTAAAGCCAGCCATATCATTCTCTTCATCAAAAACATTCAATAGCTCCCTTTCCCTATAGTATAAGATCAAAATCCCTTTGCAGGTGGCGCGAGCCATGCTGCTCATGTTGTTTGACAAGGTCCAGGCATGAGGAGGAATCCTGAAAACAGGAAACCTCATGGCTGGCCCCTGCTAATTCCCGCACTTATTTTTGCAGTAATGATGTTGGGGATTGGGCTCATATATGGGAAATCTTATGTATCTAAGATTGATTCATCTTTAGTAAATAACATAACCCAAAATTTTGATCAAAGCAGCAATTCTGGAAATGAAAGCAGTGTTATGAGACCAACTGTTCCAGGCAGTCTGCCACAAAGAAGTGAGGCAGAACAACCCAGGCCTTTCTTAAAACTAGATGCAATTTGTCCTCTCCTTTGTAACAATTCAAACATGACTAACCAGGATTTCTTTAGAATATTGGCAGAGAAGGAGTTATGGGAACCTGGGCCATGGAAAAACCCATTCTCCCAAGAAACTTATATAAAACAGCAAAGTAATAAAAAGAGATTAATAGTCCTCACTGCCCAGGGCCCCCCTTAAGTTGCTTATAATATTAGAGGATGCCTCTGGTATCCCCCTCGAGGAAAGAATTTATGAGCAAAATAGGAGGATTTACATTTACAAACATCCCATATATAGAAGTTAATGATGAATCTATGACAAAATATTACTATATTAATGGTAAGGTAGTAAGAGCAGATTTAGTGTTATTACATGAAAGATTAAAGAGGACTGCAAGGCCCTAGTGCCCGTGGACGCAGGAGGAAAGGTGTAAACATCTGAAATCATGGAATGAATATTATGAAAGAATAAGGTGTTCCTATTGTATTCGTAGGAATGATGAAGAATGTCAAAACTTCCGGGTGATAGGAGTACCATCCCTAGAATAGGAGTACCATCCTTAGACTTTAGATGTAAGCCTAAACCCACATGTGTAGGATAGGATTTAATTAATAATACAGTGTTACACTCAATAAGCAAAAGACATATAGCTTGCATTTTATATAACCTGCTTAAACTTTATATAGCCTTAGACACATATCTTAAACTCTATATAACCTTACACACTTAAAAGTAAAAATCATAGCCCACATGCTGTCTCATGCCATTTTCTGTCTAGCACCTAGCACGTAGCTCACATGAATCACTAATCAAAATAGACTAGGGGAAAGTTAAAAATTAAATGCTAAGCGGCTACTATTAGAGGAAATGATGATATTTACTTAAGGGTAATAAGCTGGAATTATGTAGAAACTGACAAGAAAAGGATTGTATTATTCATGATTAAAGAAAAACGTTTAACATTATGTAAACCTTAAAAAGATATAAAAATAAAGACCCTGCCACTTGATGTCAGGAGATGTTTCAACCTTGATCGGGTGTTTCGTTTTCTCATTCATCTCCTCACCTCGCCGACGCTGTCCTTTCCTTCGTGACCCACACCTCGGCTGGAGCTGGACTCCAGCATGCAGGGCATACAAGGGCCTCCATAAATTCATTCCTATTTCAGCATTACTCCTTAGCAATAATACATTGTTGCCATTTCTCCATACACATCATAGTATCTTTGGTCTTACTCTTACTCATTCTTGAACTTCTCTCTACTTTTAGAAAACTAGGCAAATGATTTTTTTTCACACTGTGTGTGTTTATCTGAGTCCATCAATTTTTTATCATTTTTTATGATAAAAATTCATTACTTTAGGTGACTGTTCTATGAATTTTGACAAATGTAGAGTTACGTAACCAATACCACTACAATCAAGATACAGAGCAGTTCCATCGCTGCCTCCTCCTCTCCTCCAGCCCCCCCAAAAAATCTCTTGTCAACTATGTAGTCCCATGTAGTCACATCCTTATCCCTGGCAATCACTGATCTGTTTTACATTTTTATAGTTTTGCCCTTTCTAGAATAACATG